AACCCTAGACCCTAAACCCTGAACATGGTCAAACCCTGAAGCCTGAAGCCGAAAAGGTGCCGGGGTGCTTTCCGATGCGGAGGCGCCGGGTGGAGCGGAGAGGGCACGGATGCAGCTGGTAGGCCCCTCGAAGCTGATCTTAGTGGTTTTGGGGTTTAGGGGTTTAGGGTTGAGGGTTTAGGGTTTAGGGTTTAGGGTTGAGGGTTTAAGGTTCAGGGGGTTCAGGGTTTAGTGGTTTAGGGGTTTAGGGTTTTAGAGTTTGGGGTTTTGGGATTTGGGGTCTTTAATTAGGGGTTTAGGGTTTGGGTTTCAGGGTTTAGGGGTTTAGGGTTTAGTATCTAGGGTTTAGGGTTTGGGGTTTTGTATTTAGGGTTTTACACCTTTTGGGGTGAAAGCGCTTATAAACGCCTTATATGTACATATTCACAAAAATTCGTCTTTGGTTCTGCAAGGAGACTGGACAAGTAAGGGATCATGTCATGGGTCTGAGTACTTAGTACTAAGAGGCCCGTGTAGAATAGCCCCTCTTTGCTGATGCTCGATCATAGCATAAATGTATTGTAAGATGCTTTAGTAGGGCATAGTATGCTACGATTATCTTTATCGACATGTACTGACATGTATTGCACTAGGGTCTAGTATGCGGCGATTATACTATACTATGACTGTGCTACAACATACACCCAAGCCCTTTTCCAAGCATAAAGAGGCCCGTTTTTCTGATTTATTCTCCAGCAGGTCCCTCAATCTGAGGGTCCTATCTCCTATGAGTTAAGGGTTGAGGGTTTAGGGTTTATGAGTTCAGGATCCCTTGCTTACTATATGTGGGGGACTATTCCTGAATTTGCTGGTTTGGAGCCTCTTGCTGCGATCGGGTAGAGTGAGACGTGAATGTAGCACAGACCCAAAGTTTGGCTACAGGGCTCACTAGGAATACTGCCCTCAATCCCAAACCCTGGACCCTAGACCCTGAACCCTAAACCCTAAGCCCCAAAGCCTGCTGACGGTATATTTTGGCTGTCATTGTGGGGAGACTGATAGTATATACCCTGCTTCATCTTTACTGGTGCTCAATGCTGGTATCCCCGCAAGGACACCCTCACGAAGGTTTCCCCTAAGCCCCCAAACCCTCACAAAGAGGCCCCTTTGAACTTTTCAAAGAGAATTGCCCAAATCCTGAACCCAAAACCCTAAACCCTAAGCCCTAAACCCTAAACCCCTAAACCCTAAAAACCCTAAACCCTAAACCCTAAAACCCTAAACCCGGAACCCTGTTATAATCCTCAATGTCCTTTTCTTCGTGGCCGACCCACAAAATGCGGGGATTCGGGGATCCTCGGGTCCTGGTGGGGAATGTTTGGTTTTAGGGGATTAGGGTTTAGGGTTTAGGGTTTAGGGTGTTTTCTGGGTTTTGGGCTTAGTCAAACGAATCACTTGCCATGCTCGCTCAGCCATGGTGCTTTCTGGCTGTCATGGTGCTCGCTCGATTGTTTTGCTTCGGGTTCCCGCACAAGTCACAGGCTCCATCTAGTGCCAAAAGCCCCTGCACTAATGTGTCCCCGAAAGCTTCGCGAGGCAAATCATCCAAAGTTGTTCTGTCATTATTATGTGAATCCCAGCACGGACTCATCGAAGCCTTCTTCGCTTGGACATGCTACTGCTAGCACGGTCCAGCCAATGCCAGACGATGTAAAACGCCTGATACTCGGATCGCCGGAGTGCCGGGATGCTCTTTAATGTTTTTTTCGAAACATCCAGATCATCACGTTTCACGTCGGGGTTGTAGGAAGCTGCACTGCTTGACCTAAGCTCATCCGAAAACTGATGCATTGATGCTCGCCCCTGAAAAATCAGTTAAGAACGAGACAAATCTGTAGCCAAGTAGCCGGCCATCGAAGACAGCATTGCCAAGCAATTTTCCCTGGAAGTGAGGGAGGGTATTGTCTCGATGGATTGTTCGGTGCATGGAAGTGTTTTCCGGTATTGGATACCGACGCAACAAATCCGCGGGGATGGTCGTTGTCTCGCTCAAAAAGGCTCTGGACTCCCTTGATGCCCCTGGCGGTGCGACAGCATCTGATGCCATTGAAGGGTCCGGGTTTGCTTCTTCCGCTGCAGCAACCTGAACTGATAGGGTGTAAAGCCTTACGATTCCAACGACTCAAATCTACTAGCGACGAACCACGTTTTTGTAATGCATGCGTCCTCCTCGGCCGCATCCTCTTCGTCGAGTCTGCTCAAAAGCTCTCTGCAAGCCACGGCTGCTGGGTCCGATTCCAGCTCTTCCCACATGATCTCTTCCTGTTCTGCGGTTTGAGCATGTGTAATCTGATTCCTTTCTTCCTGTTGTATCATTATTATTCAGTTGTTCTATCTGGCATAAAAAAATGGCTCACTATTTGCTGTCCTCCTCGTTCTGCTCCGTCTCCTGCTTCTGGTCTTTGTTTTGCTTCCGTTTCTCGTCTTGCTCATCCAGAATCTTCTGTATGCTGGCGATGGTGCCCTCGGAAACATGATTTTTGACCGAATCCATCTCGAGAACACGTCTGATCTTCAGGCCTTTGCTTGTATTCTTGGGCAGCCGGATGTCAGCCTCGAAAAGGATCTCGCTGATCGTGGCGCTGTGCAGCTTCAGGATCTCCAAAGTGTGGACCAAGTAAGCCACGAGGCCGTAGCTTTTGACTCCTCGTCGCAGCAGGAAGCCGCAGCCACACTTGTCCTCGACACCTTTCGGTGCCAAATGCACCGTGTACTCAAACAGCTGCACCTTTTACGGTGGTTGAGATTTAGAGTTGAGATTTAAACGACATTTGTGTTTCACGACGGAAGATCAAAACGTACCCAAGCAAAACCGAACTCGGGCCTCGGAGGTCTTGAGCAAAAACTGATGCATGAGTGTCCTTCAGGGCTTTTGTGCTGGGAAGCGAAACGAACACGTGTGGGTCAATGACTGATTTTATGTACTACTCGTTCCACGTGCGTGCTTTCTGTCCTTCCGACATCCAAGCACAAGGCCTTTGTTGCCTGACCAGCTCCCAAAACGTCGGCGACGGTGCCCGTATTGCTTGCCGGCATGCACTTCTCGTCCATCTGCCGTGCCGGGAGCTTTCCGGAAAAAAGCCATGGAAGCTCCTTGAGCTGCACAGCCTCACATCGCAACTGTCACTTCCAATCTGCATATATGCCTCAAATCCTTAATAAGACCCTAGCATTGAACCCTGATTGAAAACTAGATGACTAGATGAGGTCTAATGTTCGTCTATGTTTTGTTTTACTTCGTCGTCGTTGTTATTGTTGTCGTTTTCGTCCCTGTCGCCGTCTGCATCGTCGCCGTCGTCGTGCTGGTCTTGCTTGTTGTGGGTTGTGCTCACCCTTGCCGTCGCTGCCCTTTTCTCCCCTTGTCCCACGTTGATTTTGGATAAATCACAGGAAGCGAAACAATGACAAAGCAACCGAGAAACATACAACCTCCCCGGCGTCTTTCCTGTCGACAAGAAGAACGTGTTGTCCTTCTGGAGAAGCGTGCCGGCGCTGAAGCAGTTGGGCACCCAAAAGGAGGTGCTGGCAGCAACAGGGCTCAGCCCTTGCCTTTTGATTGTCTTAATCCCTCAGATTACCTGCCTTGCGACAACGGCAGCTAGTTTTTCAGTCAGCGGAGAGAGAGGACCCCTCAACTTACGGCCTTTACAAAAAATAACAAACGAACTCCGAGGCTCCTGTCTGCTTCCAGCAACCCTTTCATGAAGTTCAGCGAATGCTGCGTGTGATGAAATGCAGACGTCGATGGAAACGGCTTTGCAATGTTGTCCAAGTTCACATTCTTGCCTTGAAACTGATTTGGTAAGTAAGAACTAACTACCTGCAATCTTTCACTCCGTCGCTCTCTCTGTTTTCGTGCTGTTGAATGAGACAAGAATATTCTCCCCAGAAACCACAAAGAATATGTTGCCGAGTTGCAGGGCTGGGCTGAGGTGGGGCTAAACATCTTGGACTTCAAAGCATTGGTTTGCTTGCCGACCCAGTCTTCTGGCACCAGTCGCAGTGGCTTGGGGTTCTCGTCCGCGTCCGTGAAAACTCGCCTCTCCAATCCACGAATTGCAACCGACATCAGATTCGATAAGGATCCAACATCAGCCTTTCCGGTTCTTCGAACCGCGTGTTGCATTTCGCCGAAAACTGATTCAAGATTGGCACTCCACGGCACTTCCGGAAACCAAGACTGTAGCAGCTCCGTGCCGTCGCGTGTAAGCTTGAACCCCGACCGCTCGAAAAAACCCATGGTTTCTCGATACTGCTGATACAGCACGTACCCACAATGCTGATGAAGCAATGCTCGTGCCTGAGGCCTGGCTTCCAGGGACAAAACAAGTTTCCACTCTCGCGACATAGATTCCAGAATTGCCTGCTTCGCCTCATCCTCTGCCTTGCTTGACAGCAACCCTGCCGACTGGGCCGGGCTGCTGCGGAGATACAGTGCATATTGATTCAACTCGTGGGTCATGCCGAGGAACATTGTCAGGCATTCAGGAAGCACCTTGTACAGGTGCTGCGGTCGCACGAACTTCACGG